AATGCATTTACCTACAGTAGGAGCGGGCTTCATATCAAACCAAGCTCCAAATCTGGATCCTGAGCATGGTCTCCTAACTAAGTGAGCGTCTCAGTAATAAGAAGTGAAAATGGCATACATCGCCTAGCCATCTGCTCAACTACGGGAACTACCCGAAGGCTGCCATAGCCGTCAATGCCACTCAAAAGCAAATACTAGCTCAAAATGCAAAAATAGACCAGTGGAGACTAGTGCAGACTAGCTCGGCCCATCTCCAAAACATGCTCTACTAGCGGACGCATGGGCATGACATCAGCTCCTAGCTCATAAGTAGGTACATCATAAGCCGAGAAGTCGAATACCAGAAGAATCAGTGAAGTAGGGTCAATATCTAGCCGAGGCACTGCAGGAACTTCTTCAATCATTAGTATCCTCCTATAAATAATACTGAACTATTCGAACAATGGACAGATCTCGAAGTCATTGTACCGAAATAAGTTGTCTAAATGGTCAAAATAGTGATCAACCAATGCAATAATTCGGGTTGGACCCGTATGTTCCGATAATAACTCAGCCTATTCAGCTCAAAGTGCGAGAGTGTATTCCAATCTTCCTGAGTAAAACTATGGAACAATGTTTCATAAATGGGCGCCAAAGTCCAATCCATGAATAAACAAAGAGGGAATGGAGTGTTTTGGAATAAGCCATTAAGTAGTGGCACCACGCCACTACATGTGGCGCACGCCACTAAGGCCAGCAAACAGAACGGTGACTTGCTTTTGAATTTTTGATCAGGGCAAGATCCGCACGCCACTTCTAGTGGTGCACAGGTATTCATTTCAGAGACCAGAATCCTTATTTTAATATAATAAACTTAATCCGGGGTCTGTCCGAGCTTAGCACTAAGCCACTTCGCTTAGACTGTGATTAGAACTCGTCTATTTTCCTAACAATGAAATAAAACACAAGGAATATATGGGAATGGTCATATTTGTTCATCACCCATGATAAACATCAAAGGCTTGAACCTAAATCTTGTTTTATCCCTCAAATGATGCTTTTGAATTTAATGTCTTTACTTTAATACACTTTACTTTTCTGTCATTCACGTTTCAAGTACTTTACATTTGTGTTTTTATTATTATTGTGTTAACCTTCCTAACTTTACATTTAATCATTCTAACATCCCATTTCCATTATATTAATTGTTATGTTTGAGTGTTGCTATTATTAATGTTATGTGAATATTAATATTTATTTGTGTTTTGTTTCTTTTACTATTTATTGCTTTCGTATTATTTAGGCATTATGTAAAGGATCTTAATATAGGTCCTATTAATTGCTTGGTTGTAATAAATTAGTGAGTTCGACAAATTATATGGGGATTGAGGGTAGATTGTATGAATAGGTCATTGGGTTGTATTCTTTTCTCCTCCCTCACTTTCTTTATTTGATTAGTATGTTATGTTTGGTCATTAATATGCTTGTTTTCCATGATTTCATAAAATGTATAAAAATGTTTTACATCTCAATTAAGATTATTAATATTATCAAAATTGTAAATGAATAGACAACGAATGAGGCCAATTTCTAACCAGGTGGACTGGGTGCCTAGCAAATTCCTAAGACCATACTTGTGACATCCCGACCTGGCAAAGTGATCCTAAGAGGGCAGGTAGAGCGAAGCTCCTGGCTAGCTTCTAGGATGGCAGGCTAGCTAGGGTAGTTTTATTTCGATTAGGTATTGTTACTGTTTGGTCATTAAACTACTGCTTGTTTTCCATGATGTGTTCATAGAAATTGTTACTGAAAAAATTGTTTTACAGTTTGCTCAATTAAGATTAGTTTAATATTATCAAAATTGCTAGAATGAAGTAGACAACGAATGGAGGCCAATTTCTGGAACGCAGCGTGGACTGGGTGGTCCCTGAGCCAAGAGTTCGCTAAGCACACATCACTTGTGACAATCCCGATCCTGGGCAGCAGAAGTGAGTCCTGAAGAGGGCAGGTCTTTGAGAGCGAATGCGTCCTGCGCTAGGCTTCTAGGATGGCAGCTAGCTAGTGGGTAGTGGAGATGAAGGGACGACAGGAGATGTCAACATCGGAGATCATATATCGACAAAGCGGGCGAAACTAATCATTAGAAGGCGGCCTTTGGTGGTGAACTGGCTATGAGAGTTTGGTAAGAACTTTCAGGGGTTTAACGCGTGTTGCGCTCTTAATGGGAAATTTCTAGGATGGGGCTGACCTGCCTAGGAAGGTTTCCCATTTTTCACTTGCATGGACCAAAACCGGTGCGGGCAGGACAAAACCGTGCGGGTCTTGCCAATCTTGTATGGGGGATTTGGCTTGATCCAAAGCGGACAATTCCTCTGGTGATTAGAGTCGAGCGTGACAATACTTACCCCCTTATCCAGTCTCTAGTTAAAACCGAGTTAGACATTTACAAATAAACAGGTAATTCGTGAATTTTTCCTAAAGAATGTGGCGACTCTGGAATAAAATCTCTTATTAAAGTAAGAGTCCTTTTTACAAGATATTTTTTAAAGTCATCTTTCTGAGAATCAATGAACAAGTCTAATGATGAAAATTAAAATAAACCAAGTCCATTTTTTTTTTTTTTTTTTTTTTTTATTTTTTTTTTTTTTTTTCTTTTTTTTTTACAAAAATCAATGACAAGCATGATTCAGCATGATTCTAGTGGAGAAAGAAAGGTTTTGCGTGACTCAACCTTATTGGGCTCAGTCCATCTCGCTTTTGACTTAGACATCGGCGCCACAGTTCTAGTCAACCGCCTGGTTTCAGTTCCGGAGCTGAACCGAAAAAAATTTGACGATTCCAGTCTCCAATTTTTCAAGAGTTTTCCCAGTTCCTTTTTTTTTTTTTTTTTTTTTTTTACAAAAACTCATACAGCATATTCACATATCTAGTGGAGAAGAAAGGTTATGTGCTCAACCTTATTGGGCTCATCCATCTCCTTTTGATTAGACATGGCCACAGTTCTAGAACCGCCGGTTTCAGTTCCGGAACTGAACCGAAAATTGACGATTCCAGTTCCAATTTCAGTTCCAGTTCCTTAACGGTTCCAAAATCAACGGTTCTCAACTAGTTTTCTGGCGAATCGCATAATTGTAAAATAAAAAAATTAAAGAATATTTTGGAACCGACAGGTTCTCCTGCCAGTTCTTAGAACCGCTGGTTTATGGTTCCAAAATTGGTGGAACTGGAACCGAACCGTAGGCCAACAGTTTCGATTTCAGTTCCCACCGGTTCGGAACCGATGGTTCCTGTTCCAGGAACTGTAATTTGGTCACACTTACTTTTGACGAGTTAAGACTCGTTTGTTGTAGGTTGTGTTGTACTCTGAAAGAAAAATTGTTGCCACTAGTATCAACCAGAGAGTCAAGACAAACAACCTCACCAGTTAGGAAAAGGCCGAATAAAGCTGCCAACTCTAATAGATCATCCCCACCAATTGGGAAAAGGCCGAATAAAACTGCCAAGTCTAATAGGGTCACGGTTATGGGTGCAATCCGAAAGATATATGCATTAGCCAGACTAGGACCAAAAGAGGGTAGCTGGGAGAAGAAGCGATCAGTTAAACTATATCAGGAAAAATGGAGCAGCTCGTATATATCGGCTGCTCGCCAAGTGGGAGAGGACTTATGGCTAAACCAATCCAAGTAATCAAACAAGGAGTGGGCTAGTTTTGGACGAGGCAGTTGGTGCCCCAAATGGAATCACTGTTTTCTAGACAAAAAGAGGGGGTGATTCGAGAGTTGCAAAAGGAAAAACAAGTAATATCAAAGATCGTTTCATGAGAAAGGGGTTGAAATTTGTACAAAAGAGTCTGGGACAATGTAAGTTACCTGGTCAATGACAGATGAAACATTCCAATAATGAGTCGGCTAATTCTTATAGGATTCTGGATATTTGGTTCTACATACCATAATCAGACGATTGCCTATGTTAAAGGAAAATGAGAGGTCAAATATTGAGAGAGATTTTAAAGAGAGAGACTCTAAAGAGTGAGATACCTATTCAGTGACAAATGAAGGTTCTTCCCTCTTTTATGGGCAAAATAAGAAGGTGAAAGAACAGACATATGAACAGGTAGACGACACTTCAGTTGCTCAAACGATTTCCACCATACTAGGCTGACTAGTGGTGCACATTCATGAAGAGGCTCATGCGCGGGAGGCATTGTTGACGCCTTCTCAACTAGAGACCTAAAAGGCACTCCTTTTAGGACATCCTTCTTGAGGTATGTGTGGATTAGTCTCAAATTAATGGATTTTGGAACATAATATAATTGTAAAAGTTAGAGAATTTTAAACTTCGCTTGCCTTATACGTAACAAATTTATATAAATAAGGGAGGCTACTCCGAAAAGACCGATATATGTACAAGATTTTATGTTGATCTCATTCTCTCTCTCTCTCTCTCTCTCTCTTATAATATTATACATAAATATCTCTCTTTTACAATATTTTCACCTCTACCAATTGCATTTTCTAACTCTTTGGATTGACGACCCTGACCTGTAAGTTCAAGCAATCTCACTTGTCAGCCTATCTGAGAAACTGAATCCACAGATCATAATTGATTTTTGAGGCAAACGTTTAACTTGATATCAAGATAAATTCAGTCATAGACATTAAACTGTTTTTTTTTTTTTTTTTTTAAAAGGAAGAGTTAAGGGCTCTAAAATTAATACCTTAGATCGGTTTAATTTGAAAATATAAATAAGAAAAAAGATAAAACAACATTTTTAAATTGTTTTTTTTTTTTTTTTTTTTTAAGGAGAGTTAAGGGCTCTAAAAATTAATACTTAGATCGGTTTAATTTGAAAATAAAATAAGAAAAAAGGATAAAACAACATTTTTATTGAATAAAATAATCATTTCACCTTAAAAAATTGATCTTCCATAAATCTTTTGAAAACATCTATTAAAAATCAAAAACTATTACATATTTAGAACTTTCAAATCAAAACTTAAAATTACAAGATTGTTATTTCATAAAATAATCATACCACTCTAAATTTGAACCTGAACTAAAACGCGCTATTCCAAAACACGAGTTATGCAAATTATAGAATTTGTGAACACGTGTCTGAAGAAATCATAGATGAAAATTAGATGACAATTGAAGTCCAATTTAAGTGAAAATTCGAGAAATATGTAGGAGAAGTGACTTATTTCAGGGATTCCGAAGTGGGGTCCCGACCTTACCAGCACCAGAGGTGTACTAATCAATGAACTCCCGAAACGATGCCTTCTCCTGTACCAGAACAGAAGAAAAATGATATTCCCAAGTTTGTGTTTGTAGGTTCTTCTTTAGAGCCAGTTCCACTTGATCCCTCTAAGCCTCGAAGAAGATGATCATCGGATGTGAAAAGCATCGTTAGCGACATCATATTATACTTAACCAGCATACTCAATTCAACTCACATTCCAATTGTAGAATCCATAGGTGAGCAGATGGTAGCACGTTCCCTTCCTGTCTAATAATTTTCCACAATTCAAAAATGCTGAAAATATATAACGAGTTCAGCCAACTCTACCAATCTGATTCAGACGGAAGAGGTGACTATAAAGAAGACAGCAGTAATCCAAAAAGTTTAAAGATGCATGCCAAACGAACAAATAAAAGCAGCAGAAATGACTCGCTGTCTCAGAAAATGTCAACCACTGAAAAATTTTATGCGTACTGAATAATAATACAAAAACAAAAGTGAATAATGTGCCAACTCTATATTCTTAGTATTGTACTAATCGTACCAAAAACTTTATTTTCTCATGTACAGGAAGGCATACCATAAGTTCTCTCTGAATATTCTACATGTAATTAAACTACTCCATCTGACCAGCCAATGCTGCATCCTCATCTTCAGCATCTAATTCTTGCTCCACTCCTTTCACCTGCACATTTAATATGTAATGATTTTCATAAGCACACAACAGAAACTTGCCGTAGAAGGAATCATTATCCTTTTTGCCTATCATTAGAGGAATCAAGCACTAATTTCATTTTCAAAGCCAGGAGTTATAGAAACCAGAATTAGTCAGAATCGTCCTTCCTCTCTTTCACAGACTAACTAATTGTAAGTTCACAGCATAATGTCAAGTCATAATACTCATGACTGCATGCTCCCATCAACTTATAAATTCTGAAGGGCATTTTCTCTATCTCAGTAGATTTAAGCTCCATTTAATTCGATATTACATAGGCATAGATTCCGTTTGACTCACTCATCTACACAGATGTTCATAATGGCTTCATTTAATCCTATACACAAATATTAAAAGAAAATAACAGATTGTAGATTGCCTGTAATTTTGCCAGGTTTTTAAAGAGTTAACAACAAATACAAAATCACACAAAAGACTTCATGCCAGTATGAAGTGTAAACTAACACACTTTACAAATCCAAAATGATGACCATCAATTGTTACCTCTGATACATAATGCATCAACATATTTTCAATTCCAGATTTCAGAGTAACCGATGAGCTTGGACAGCCGCTACATGCTCCTTGCATTCTCAACTTGACTATTCCAGTTTCTCTGGAGAAAGCAAACAAAGTTCCAATAAAAGATTATCTAAAAGTTATAGAAAAAATTATGTCACGCCCCGACTCTAATCACTAGAGGAATTGTCCGCTTTGGATCAAGCCAAATCCCCTATACAAGATTGGCAAAACCCGCACGGTTTTATCCCGTAGGTGAATGAGAAACTTCTCAGGAGGTCACCCATCCTAGAATTTCCGTTAAGCGAACACGCTTAACCCTGGAGGGCGACATGCCATGTCTTACAGTAAGGTAAGGTGTGACAAATTATCTATTAATTCTATAGTTTATTATCTATAATATAATAACTATAATAATTATAATATATTATAATAAAGAGAATTTTACTGAACATACTGAAAGACATCAAAGTCTAATTAGAAATACAGACAAAAAATGATTGTGATTAACCACCCATCTGCACCTAAGATCCTAGGATCACAATTCCATTTTTGTCTAAATTTCAAAGTAAATGGCTAATAGATGCGTCACTTCATGCAAAAAACAGATTCAGTTATCCAATCTCAGTAAATAACCAAATGAAGAAAAACCTACGGATCAAATCCCCGATATTCGATATCTCCACCATCATCTTGAACTGCTGGTCGAATACGAGTCTCCAGCAGCTCTTTAATCATTGCAACTGTTTCTGAATCTTCCTGTATGAGAAAGAATTAATATTCTCCCACTCTGATTTATACAGAATTTCATAGGCAAAGGACAATTTAAAAAGAGAAATTAAATACTTCAATGTGATAAATCAGTTGCTTTAATAATGATATTTCAGATGATGTGACAATGAGACAAATAAAAAAAAAAAAAGTTTATTGATCTTCAAACCAAATTAGATTCAAAATGAGGATGGTACTTATTGTCATTGGTACAGCGCAAAGAAGAGATGCAAACTGCAGCTTGATGTACAATAATTGTGCTCTGTTGGTCCAACTGTTTACTTTATCCCAATGCGATTGGAGACCCAACAAACATGTGCATTTCGGAATGATCCTCCAGTACATGGAAAAAGTACAAATGCAGTTGGAGACATAACAAACATGTGCACTTAGGAATGATCCTCCAGTGCATGTTCAGTTTACCTCAATGCAGTTGGAGACATGACAAACATGAGCCCTTGGTAATGATCCACCAGTACATGGAAAAAGTATAAATGCAGTTGGGGACATAACAAACATGTATACTTGGGAATCATCCTCCAATATATCTTCAGCTCATCCCAGTGTAGTATGCTTATTTTTGTTAAACAACTGTATGGTGCTTATTTAAATGAGTTCACTTTGTTTTATCCCATTTAATCTATAGTGTTTTATCCCATTATTCAATTTCTATAACTTGTCATAAAATATTAAATGAGTAGAAAGATCGTCTTTTATGAGAACATAATTAATCAACCATTTATCAACATAACTTATTCATGTTATTTATTTTGATGGGAATTGAGCTTCTTGATGTTGTTCTTCACAAAACTTGAAATTTTATTTTACAATTATGTAAATGATGCAGGACAACTTGAGAAAACTTGAAGTTTTAGGAGATTAGAGCCAGGGTTTATAGGCCTAATCATCAATTTCACTCCAAACTTTTGGAGTAATTATAATTTCACCCCAAATTGACCTTTGTACATAGTTACAATTTCACTCTAATTTTCTTTTAGGGTGAAATTGTACCCTAAAAGCGAATTAGGGCACTGTGAACTTATCAATCTGTTACAATTGCATCGTAAAAGAAAATTAAGGTTGGAATTTGATTAAAATAATGTAAAAATGGACCTAGTAACTAACCCAAGCTCAGTTAAATGCAAAACACACTGTCTGAATTATAAAAAGAAGAATTAATCACTTTGCCTCTTTTCTGCTCCAACTTGTCATTTCTCTCCTCCTTGTAGAAAATTAATCGGTAACTACCGAAAATTATAGTGGCGCAAGTTGCAAGGGGCTCCTGGAGCCTAGGTGCAAGGCACGAAGTGACGCGGAAAATACACACACACACACACAAAAAGTAACATCAAAATTGTTCAAAATATTTGTATCAATAATATAAAGCATATAAAATATTAAAAATCACACCATCTAATAAAACATAAAAAATTCAATTTTAATATAAGCAATTTTATAGCAAGTGACATGAAAGGGCATACGTTAATTTTACAGCATATTTGCCATTCAGGACTTTCATTAAACAGATCCTAAGCTTACCCTATGAGGGCAGGTTTTAACCAAAATTTTCTACCAAGGTTTATAATTGAAACTCAAAATTCAAATTCATTGCATAACCCAAATCAAATGCTACTTGGTCAAACTTTAATCAACTAAACCAATAATTACAATTTAGCTTTATAATATAAAAAGTGATCAATGCTTCAAAATTGTAACTCAAATATTAAAACAATCCACTCATAAAGTTGCAGCATAACAACTATATTTTAAGCTTTTGGGTTAGAGAAGAGAGAAGATTATAGAAAAGGGAGAAGAAGCAAAAACATGAAACAGAGAAAGCAAAAGAAACAAGGGAAAAAAACAAGGAAGAAAAGTTCAAGCTCAAGACATACTTGGTCCCTGTTGGAGTTTATTGCAGGATACTTCTTTTCTTTGTTTCTTTTTTTTTTTTTTTTTTTTTTTTTTAAAACAAGAAGAAAAGTTCAAGCTCAAGACATAAACTTGGGGTCCCTGTTGGAGTTTATTGGCAGGATACTCTTTTCTTTTGTTTCTTTTTTTTTTTTTTTTTTTTTTTTTTTCTCTTTCTTTAAGTAAAAAGAATGTAGTTGGATACCAATAAAAACCCATCCTAAAGCTTAAGACCTAATACAACACACCTCACCCTAAAATTTTTTACCGTTTAGCTTATTAAACACGAAGCACGCATGAATAGCCTCACAAAGCGGGCAAATTTTGTTATGTTATTTTCATATAATTTGCATGAATGCATGTTATTTTTATATATTTTACGTTTGCTCGTATTGTTTTTGTTTCAAAGAGATTATAGGAACACAATTTGAGCAAAGGAATGAAAAGGCTTGCTTTATATAGAAAAGAGGACCAAAAAGTTGATAAAAAAATGAAAGAAAATTGCTCAGCAGACTTCGCGACGCGAAGGAGGTCGCGTTCGAAAGAAAACAAGCCAGTCGCGAGCGCTACCTGAAGTCGCGCGCGCAACCTACCTACAAGAAGACCAAGCAGGCACCAAAACGAAAGTCGCGAGCGCGACATTCATATGCGCGAGCGCGAGAAGCACTCTAGCAAGTCGAGAAGCACTCTAGCAAGTCAGAGAGTTTCCAAACAAAAGTCGCGAGCGCGACATTCGTCTACGCGAGCGCGAGAAGCACTCCTGAGAGGCAAAGACTTTTAAAGCAAAAGTCGCGAGCGCAACCTTTAACCTCACAAGCGTGAGTCGTGTTTCCAGGAGACGTAATTGCTGTCTTTTCATCAGAAAAACATGTCTTCCCATGCATAGGTCGGGACTCTTCCCAAAGAGAAGTGTGATAGTAGTATTTAAAAGCAAGTTGACGAGAGTCACTTGTTATTGATTGTGCCAAGAACATCAAGAAGTTCCTCGAGGTGTGACACCCTCCGGAGGCTTGAGTTTGATTACTTGTTTGATTACTTCTTTCTCTTGTTATAGACCTTGTTGTATGTTGTTCTTCATAAACTTTTCTATGTAAAGCAATAATTTAAAATTGATATCATCAATAAAAGTTCCTTAAGTTATCTTTTGATCTTTGTTTAAATCAAAAAGTTACAAATTATATTCTCCAGAAAGAAATAATTTAGTAAAGATCAAAAGAGATTTATTCCTCTTAGCTGAATTCCACATATGCATATTTCCACTTATTGTTTGTCAAAGTTAAATCTGTCTTATTGAAATAATCAAAGAATAAGTACTAAGTTTAATATTTTAACAAAATAAGGTATTTTATTATAAGTAGAGATACATAATAATAGAAGAATAATTCTATAAACCGGAAAGGTTGAATTATATCTTACGCAAATATGTGTTAAAGAATTATTTATTGTATGTTACAAGATTTGGCAATAGAAGGGAAAATCATGTGTATGATTAATTATTCCTAAGTATTTTACTAAATCACTTATCTATAGAATTAAATAAATAATTTAAAGTTTTAGTATAACTAGAAAATTCAATCAAATTATTCCATATTTTATATTTCTGTAAACATACCATATAAGAAATAAAAAGTAGTAAAGTGACTAACCCGTTCCTCGTGGGATGATCTTTTTATTTAGTAAAGTGGACTTAACCCGTTCCTCGTGGGATTGATCTTTTTATTACTACGTTGCGATCCGTATACTTGCGGGAACTCAAAAGAGATGCAACACAGCATCTGCACCCTACATTTAAGCGTGCCTTTAATAACTATGCCAACAATGGCAAAGGAATTATCATATTCATCATCGTCATCCTAGGAAGAGTAACCTTTTTATTGTTTTTGCATCTTAAGATCTGTTCAGTTCTAAAATCAAAGACCCAATCTTGATTTTCTTGTTTATCACATAAATAATTGGGTTTAATGGTTTTGTTTATTGCTTGAATATCTTGGGTTTAATTGATTTTTTTACTGTTTGAATATCATTGTGTTATGGCACTGCTGGACTTAGGGTAGTTTCACTGTTGTAGTTAGGGTAGTTTTATTTAGTTATTCAGTTTCTATCATGTTACTATCAGTTTCTTTGCTAGTGGGTATTAGTAGGGTGGTTAAGCAAGTTATTTATTGTAATAGGTAGCTATCAGTGGCTAGTTATTGCAGTGGGTAGTGGATGGTTTTAGCTTTTGCATTTAGTTGTTTAAAAGGCTATGTTCAAGAAAAGGTTTTGAGTATCTACAACTCAGAGATTGTAGAGTTCTCTCTTAACAAGCTCTAAGAGATTGCAGATTCTCTCTAAGTTTGTTTCTATGACACCTTATCTCAAACCTGATCCAGTAATTCAAAGACCCATAACTAGATCCAGATTTGGGACATTATTCAACAACAACTTGTTAGAATCTTGACATTATTCTTAGAGGAACAAGCTGCCAACAAAGTCTGACATGAAGAACTAAAATCTAAATTAAATGCCCTCACACGTGTTTTTTGTGATTCAAAAAAAACATCAACAATGGAAAGGAGCAGCCAAAATCAAGCACTGAAAGCAGAAGGTCCAGTAGGTTCAGTCAGTCTACAATCCTAGGGGCACTACCATTGTTTCCAATTCACAAAGTTGGATTTTCTTGGACCAGCTATAAGGGAGGTGTGATCCATAATAGCCTTTGTAGCGGCGAAAAGTGCCTGCTCTGCCCAATTGAGCAAATAATTTTTTGAATAGAGGTAATTTCTTTTGTAAATTGACACCCACTGAAACTATTTTTCTAACTAGATCACTGAAAAAGTATTGTAAGAAAATTGTTTGATAGACTAAGGGTTTATAGGCTAGGCTGGAAAGAATGGCTGTACTAATTTAGGAAAGTTGGCAAAATTGGAACAATCTAGAACGGCAAAGCAAAGAGTTTTCCAGCAACCATTTCAAGTCCTAATAGCTGTGTGTATAGAAGATAGAGCAGAGCAAAAGAAAGAAATAATCAAACAACATCATTCGTTAGCACAAGCAGAGGGTCTTGCTTGTGATTTGGCAGCGTCTATATGGGAATGGAT